TGCTGTTGTCGCGAACGTCACCGGCTCTGGGCGCCGCCCGCCCCCACCTAAAGTTGACGTCGCGATTCGTGCGTACCTCCCAGCTGCCTCTGACGGTTCCTGAACATTCCCAGGCTGCGCCTGCGTGAACCCTCTCCCCTTTTTCCCCCCCAAAGAAAAATACCCGCGATCGCCCAGGAATGCAACAACGCGCCCATCATGCCGTCGAGAATCGACTCGTCGCAACGGGAAGGAATGGTTGGGATGGTTAAGATGTCAGATATGGCGCGAGCGCGCCTAACTAGTCCTCCTCCTTCTCCTCCTCCTTCTCCTTTGTCCTCATAGCCCCTTGCAACGGAGGGAGCTGGGCGGCGCCAAGCGAGTCGACCGACGCGCACATGTTGTCGAAGCGGGGGCACTTACTGCGGGGGCGAGGGAGGATTAGGAGCACACAGGGCAGAAAGAAAAGTACAAGAATAAAGGGGGAGGGGGAGAAGGACAAATAGGAGTGGAAGAGAGGAGGAGGAGAAGGAGGATGAGGAGGACGAGAAGAAGAAGAAGAAGATGAAGATGATGATGCTGATGATGATGATGATGATGCTGATGATGATGATAATGATGATGAGGAGGAGGAAGATGAGGAGGAGGAGAAGGAGGAGGAGGAGGAGGAGAGGGAGGAGGAGAGGGAGGAGGAGGAGGAGGAGGAGGAGGAGGAGGAGGAGGAGGAGAATGGGGGGGAGGAAGTGGGGGGGAGGAGAGGGAGAAGACGGGACGGAGAGAGGGATGAGGAGGGAGAGGAATGACAAGGGAGGAGGAGGAAGCGGCAGGAGAAATTGCAGTGCCGCTGGAAGAAAGAGGATGAGGAAAATAACAATACAGAGGGGGATGAGGAAACGGAAGAGGAGAAGGAGAAGGAGGAGGTGGAGGGCGGAGAGCAGCGATGAAAGTATGCAGAAAGTCTTAGCACAAGGGCCTTTTCATAGGGAGCATCAAGTCCCATGCAAATCCGAATTCGTCATTATTCCAACGCGGTGGCCGTAGGACGATTATCCTCCTCCTCATCATCTTTCCTCCTGCCTCAGTATGCCCTTGTGGTGCCTTCCTGCGTCACTCCTCCTCCTCCTCCTCCTCCTCCTCATCATTATTCTCCCAATCCTCCTCCTCCACCTCATCCTCGTTCTTTTCCTGGATCCGCACCCCCTGGCAATTGTCCAATGGTGCATCCTCGACCTCAACTCGTCTGACCTCGAGCAGCCCGACGGAACTGGCCGCCGAGGGAAAAGGAGCGGGGAGGGGAGAGGGGGTGCAAACTATGTGCGCTCACACCAGAGCTGACATCCTCGCCCCCCCATCCATCCCTCCCCATTGCGCTGACGTCTTCTCTATCCGCCGGCGCGTTTCATAACGGACATGAAATGTCAAAGATGACCCCGTCGTGACATGCGCAACGGGCAAAAGAGAACTGCGTACATTGGAGGAGGAGGCGGCTGAGCAGGAGGATTAGCAGGAGAAACAAGAGGAGGATGGGAACGGAGAAGGATGATGACGTATAGCAGCAGCGGGAGCTGGAGTGGAAGGAGCGCGGGGAGCAGGAGGGCCCAGGGAAGGCGGAGGAGGGGAAAGGTTTTGGAGCGACAGCGATGAGGAACAGCGTGCGCCAGACGGCCCAAGGGCGTCATAAGACGGCCTCAGGAACCCCCAAGAGGCGCCGAGACGCCCCAAGACGCCCCCAAGAGGCCCCAAAGAAGCTCCCAAGAGGCCTTCAACACGCCACCAGCAGGCCCCAAGGGAGGACGAGGCAAGAAGAGGGGGAGAGGAACACGACGACGGCGCGCGGAAGAACGTACCACCTGCTATGGCTTTTGGGCACGAAGTGTAGCACGTCACGGCTCCCCATGCGCTCCTGGAGCAATACGGCTTCCCATGCGCTTGTGGAGCAATCGCCATCCCGAGTGCTGGGCTGCTACGGCAGCGGCAGCAAGACTTACCTTGCCGCAGGCAGCCAGATAAAAAACACCAAAAGCAATGCGGCGACCTTCACGGCACGGCGGCACAGCGAAGGAAGCTGCCGGGTCGCCCCTGGGAGACTCGGGATATGCCTTCATACACCACTGTAGCCCTAAAGCGAGAAGCTATCAGGGAAACATTGGAAAAGACTCCGGCGAGATCTCGAAGTCTGCGTCCGATGGGCAGGCTGTGGGAACGCGCCCGCGCAGTCAAGGTCTCAGTGAACGCGCAAACAGTTCGCTCCGTCTGCCGCTAGACCAAAGGCGCCGACGAACGCGTCGCTGAGCCAGCGGATGCCAGCCGCAGCAGCCGAGCACAGCACATCGCCTTCGGCAGCGCACGGCCGCTGGGCAGGGGCAGCTAACAGAGAGACGACCTCTCGCCCTCCCCCCCGCGCGCGCTGCAAACAACGTCAATTGGCGATGCGTCAAGCGGCGGCCCGCGGTACCAGCCGAAGTTCGCAAAACTGGCCGTGTGCAGCCGCTTGGACAGCACTGGGGAGAAGCCGGCGACGACGTCACCGAGGGCGCCCAGAGGCCGGCTGGGAAAGCAGGATGCAGTAGGAGCTCGACCACAAGAAACCTTCCACAACAAATACCCAACCCTGAGACCCCAGGACGTCGATTGATTTTTGGTTCGGGAACGTCGCGCTTTCATAGCAAAACCATCGACGCCCAAGAAACCCAGGGCACCCTGGAGGCAAGGGTGTTTCTTGGCATGGGTTTCCACTGTATTGAGGCGGAGGCCACAATTCGACGCCTTCGCCATTCCGGCCAAGAGGGCAAAGTGAGGACACAACGACCGCAACGGCGAGTGACAACTGCGCCAGGCCAGCACACTGACCACGTGCTTTGCTGCCGCGTGTGAGGTCTGGAGGGATGCCGTAAGCACCTCGTCTGCCCCCCCCCGCCCCTTGCCGAGGCGGCCACCCGGGCTGACATTGTGAGGCTGATGAGCTTGCAGGGTGCTTCCAACGCCATCCGTCGACCATACGAGAAGGAGAAGAGGAGGACAGCGTGCGAAATCTGGCGAGTCTATCCCAAACCCCCCTTGGGGCCCGACCGCACGCAGCCGCCGTCCTGCCGTCGGGCAGGGTCTCGCTGCAGCCGTCGGACTCACCTGGGGTCTTCAGCCAGTAGTACGCGTCCACCTCCAGGTTGGCCCTCTCCTCTTCCTCCTCCATGTCCTGCTCCTCCTGCTCCTGCTCCTCCTCCTCCTCCTCCTCCTCCTGCTCCTCCTCCTCCTCCTCCTCCTCCTCCTCCTCCACTAGGAGCAACGCTCCTCCCCTTCCTCCTTCTCAGTTAGGAGTAATGAAAGTCGACATCACCACCATCATCGCGAGGAGAAGGCAAAGTTCCACTTGGTGGTTTGGTGTGCACCCTCTGTTTCGCGGAGCCCCGCTGGGAACACATCCAATCCAAGTCTTCAGCTCGGGGATGGCATCGTGGACCTCCCCTCTGGAGGAGGCCCGCTGGTGATGGTGTTGCTGCTTCTTCTCCCACCGATCCTGATTATCCCGTTCTCCTCTCCCTTTCCCGATTGGGACGGTGCTCCGGGCATCGAGATGTTCCACGCCGAGCTCCAAACAACGACCTCGGGACGCAGTGTGCAGAATTCCGAGCGAATGCGTTGCCCGCTTCTTCCCGCGGCCCTCCCTCGCGTCTCCCCAGCGGCACCCCGGCACCCACGCTGCGCCCGTCCAATCAGGACCGCGCCCCCGCAGGCAGTGCAGCTTCTCTCTGGGACGACCAGCATACCGCCTGAGTCGGGCACGGCCTGAACGCCCCCAAGCAAGCCATCCCCTTGCGTAACGAGTTTTGCCCTCTTGCGGACTGTGCGATCCGCGCGTGCGCGCGGACCAGATTCGGGCGAGGATGCGCATCCCCCGACCTGCACCTCGCAGGATGCCCCTCGTCCGCACCCGTACTACCACGAGTGGAGAAGCCGCCGGCCGCATGTTGGATCCCCCCTCTGGTGGCCCTCCTCCTCCTCCTCCTCGTCCTCCACCTCCTCCTCGTCCTTCTCCTCCTCCTCCTCCTCCTCCTCCTCCTCCTCCTCTTCCTCCTTCTCCTCCTCCTCCTCCTCCTCCCCCTCCCCCTCCCTCTCCCCCTCCCCCTGCCACTGGGCCTGTTCGCGCTCGTAAAATGTGTCTGCGCGGTGGTCTCCCGTGGGCGCCCGGTGGTCGCCTCTCGCGCGCTGTCGGACTCCCCCCCCAGGCGCGCACGCAGATGTTGCACCTCGCGGCTTGCACCGTGGGCTTGCACCGCCCAGCACAAACGAGTGCACCACACAGCTTGCAGCCATGCTGTGCACGACGCAGACAGCAACAGGCATGGATTGCACCACAAGGGGTGGGCCACATAATGGGGCCACATGGGCTGCACCGCGTACGTTGCGCAAGCCAGCACGCAGCACATAGCCTGCATCACCTGGCCTGCACCACATCGAGTTCGCCTCGAATATGGAGCCGACGACATTGCACCACAGTGATTGCACACCTTAGGGCCCAGATTGCACCACATACCTCGCACCCCATAGATTGAAGCACACAGCTCTCACCACTTCGTAGTTTCCCGTAGTTTCCACCGCATGGCTTGCATCACAAAGCATGCTTCCCATGCATTGCACAACGTACCTTGCACCACGGTGTTTTGCATCACTCAGGTTGCGCCAGCTAGATTGCACCATATCAACTGCAGCTCAGGTTGCACCAAGCCCATGTTGCACCACGAAAAGTGCACACTGGGATTACGATAGTATGCAACTTAGGGTTCACGCTAGCAAGCGCATGTTTCTGTGCAAACGCGCGCTGAAGTCCAGGCACGTTGTGCCACATTGCATGGATGTGTTTCATCGGCCGCATCTTTTTCGGCTGTACAAATCGAAATTCGGTCGACGGTCGACGACGGCTTAGAACAAGGCCACCGACATACCCACGCAGTCACTACATCCGCAGTCACCGACGAGGCGATGACGGGATCCAAAGCAGAAGACACAATGAGCAACGTAGAAGATCACCTGGTGCTGCCGTTCCTCTTGCTCTGGAGTGCCTGCTTGACCGCTTCTGCTGGCTCCCTACACTTCACGCGGTGGGCCCCTTCAGAGGGGCCCTTCGACACTGATCCGATAACTCTCTGGGTGCTCGAAATTATCTCTAGGCTGTGGCCCTCGAGTTCGATGGGAGCAACACAATCCGGGGCAACCATAGTCGTGGCGGTGGCTGGCCGTGACCAGAGAAGCCCCGTCGCCCCTCATGGCAGCACACGAGGACTGCAAGGGCACCACGAGAGTGAGCTCCACCTCGCCCCTGCGTGCGCGTGGCGCTCCTGCTCGTGCTCGAATCGGCGATACGTGGCTGACAGATCGGCGGTAGTCCCGCGAAAGCGAATCCGCATGCTCCTGGGTAGGGTGGGCTGTCGGGCCCGTGTCGGCGATCAGTGGGCGATTGGGGGTCGATGCGCCCTGCGCCCTCTCGGAATTCATCCCCCCCAAAACGGTGCCCCCTCAGTGGTTTCCGGGTCGTAACTCGGGCCTCCGACGGCCGTTCGAGACGATCCCGGCGCCCCTGGAACGTTTTCGGCGAGGTGCAGCCGCCGGAACGCATCCCGAGGCTGGAAAATCCGTGACCTTCCAGGAGGATGAATAAATAACACCAGGACCTTGATACCTACATTCCAGTCGAGGTTTCAAGCAGTCTGGAACTGTCTTTAAGTCTTGAGAGCTCTTTTTAAGCGCTCTCGAAGGTCAGGGACCGCCGAGAACCGACGAGAACCGCGACGCGGCGACGCGGCATCCCGCCCGCCAGGCTCGTGTTCGCCGTGCTGGCCGTGGAGGGCACCCCGGCGCCGCCGCCGCGGGGGTTGCACCAGTTCTTGCAGTCCTTCCGCATGTCCACCACCCCGTTCCTGGCGAGGGGCGCGGAGAAGGCGCTGGCCCTCACACACACACACACTCTCTCTCTCTCTCTCTCTTGTCTACGAACCAGCGCAGACGGAGCCCAGCGGCACGACAAGACAGACGAGCGACAGACGACCGACGAACAACAGGGCTAGGGGGCCACATGCGAACCCTACCCCTACCTACCCCTACCCCCCACGATTTCTCAGGGGGAGGGTGGGGTTCACTTCGCTCGGGAGCTCCCGAACAGAGTGAACCCCACCCTCCCCCTCAGAACTCGTTGGGGGTAGGGGTAGGGTTCGCATGTGGCCTCCTACGGGCGGGGCGGGGGATGGAGGGGCGGGGACAGGGGAAACGAGGGAACGCGCGCGCGCCCGCGCAGCACGGGGCCGATGGCCACACGGGGCCATAGGAGTTGCTGGCCCTCACGCCCGGCGGCACGGGGCCGATGACGGCCGTGGACGGCCCCCCACCTCCGCTCGTGTTAGGAAGCGCGACGGGAGATGATGTTTGGCACTTTGTTCGGCCTCCGGAGGCCCTCGTCGGGCCCGGGGCCGTCCACTAGCGAATCGGGATGAAGAGCCCGTCCCAGGAAAGAGCGGGGTCTCCACGCGGCGACGAGATCACAACGTGGGAGTTCTGGGGAGGAGGGATGACGGCTTTATGTTGCAGCCTTTCGGAGGGCTCGACGGAGGCCTCGGAGGTCCCCACGCGTCAGCGACGTTGCTTCCAGGAAGGCTCGGGGCATGGGGGGTAGCCCGAGGGCCTCCAACGGCTCCTGGAGAGCTTCAGGGGGGGCAGGAGAGAGGAGGAGAAGAGGGGAGGGAGGAGGTGAAAGGAAGCAGCAGGAAGCAGAGGTAGTCGGCAGAGGTGTTCCCCGTACGGTAGCATCCGAACTGTCTGAGGCAGCCTGCGGGGTCATCCCGTCCAATCGCCCGTCCCACCTCATCAACCCTGTCCCTCACCTCATCACTCTTCTCCCCGCTGTGCTGCTTCCCCTCTTGGCCCCGGGGCCCATCTACTACACCCAAGACCTGGCGCGGCCCCAGGGATCAAGAGAACACAACATGCCTCAGGTTGGGCCACCGCTTGGGATAGATCGCTTCGAGCAAACAGCGCATCTCGTATGCATCAATATACAGGGACGACGCCGCTCGTGGTATAAAGACAGCGTAGGACCAAGGGGAGATACTCCCATCCCATGCGTGACACCCACGGCGCGGAAGTATGATAACGTGTCCGAAGATACAGCGCATGACAGGTACGACAAACCTTCGCGCTAAAACTGATGCGAGTCTGAAACTGTATCACAGATGGAGGATGGAAGACACCATCAATTAAACACAAAGGCGGAATCATGCATTCCTCACACCGAGCTCCGAATCCTGAGGATCTTACGAAAGCTGGAAACAAACGAATTACACCGCTGACAAGCATCGCGTTCCATTTTAACATCCATCATATATGACCACGAAGCGCGAAACAGATCGATGCCAGCGCGAAGCAGGACCGATCCCAGCTGAATCCTGATCGAGGTAGGAGCCAAGACTCAGAAAACCGACCACGCTGCAAAGACTGGCCTAGCACTTCACTTGACCAAACACGTCTGCACAAGAAAGACAACAATGCGAGCACACTTTCCGCCGCCCGATGCATGTCCTGCCGGTGTCAATGATCACGTGCGCCTGTGGCGTGGTATTCTATCTGCGCCTCCTCCTTCCAGCCCCCCTCCTACAATCATGCACACCTGCTTGTGTGCACGCGTGCATAACTCCCCGCTCTCGCTCAGCTGTGGGCACTGCAGCGCGTTCTGAGACGAGACACGTTCACGCGCGTCAGAAGGGAGGGGTCGGATGGGGGCGACCGTACCGAACGAGTCCGACCTACCGCGGGACAGCGCGCTCAGCAACCAATGGCGGCCTTCGCTGCTGCCGGAATCGTGCAATGGAATGTGGGAGTGGTGGGAGCGCTCCCTCGTGCACCATACTCGGCCTTCGGTTTGTGGTATACGTGAAACGCCAAAACGTTGACCTGATGCAAACGAGCACGTGGATACTCTCGCTCAGGATCGGGTTGCATCCCCAGTCCGAGGAGGCGGACTAGTAGAAGGGCCTGGCCGGGCGTACTGCGACTGGCATCGGAGCCCTGGCAAGACTGCAGGATCAGCGGCCACCTGCCGTTGTGTTGTCCCACGCCCCGGCAGCGTTCTTCATTGTCACCAGCTGCCCTGCACTCGTGCCGCTGTCGCTGGGCCGCTGGTGAGCGTTCCCTGCGCAGCTGACGGGAGGTTAGAGCTCGCGGTGCCGCCCGCTCTCCTGTACCAGCACGTTCGGCATAGGGAGCCGTATAGTGGGAGCGAAGCCACACTTTGGCCCCAGTTGCGCCATGATTGCCAGGACCGCCCGAGGAAATCTTAGAAAGGACCTCAGGAGCCCCGAGACCTCAGGAGCCCCGAGACCCGCCTCACCGCACGTGGTCATTAGTCCAACGTTCTGACTGCAGCATGGGAGGTGGGAGCGAAGAACGGGGGAGGGACCCACCACTACAACAACTGGGTCGTATTCGCTAAGGAAGGAAATAACTTCAGCACGTGTCGGATTGACTTCGGTAACTGGCTGTGAGAGCGTTGCACAACTACCACGGCGTGACGGCATGGAAGTAGCACCTTAGGTCTTCCACCCCGAAAGAACACACGCGCCACTCAATATTCGCCTATGCTTCCCATTCATCCAGCAAGATCAACATTGACAACCAACTAGAATGTCAGGACCATAGCCCATGGGAGTATAATCAGTGTGACCTTCATGGGGGGGCAGAATGGGCTGCTTCGTGATACAACCGGCGAAGCCAGAACTTCACGATCGCCCTCATCCTCTAGTCTCCTCCTCCTGCACCTTTTCCTCCTCCTCCTCCTCCTCCTCCTCGCCATCATCCACATCACCCTCTTTATCATCGTCCCTCTCTTCCCCTCCTCCTGCCCCTCCTCCTCGTCCTCTCCCTCCTCCCCCCCTCCTCGTCGTCATCATCATCCCTCACCCTCCGCGTCCCCCCGCGTCCCTCCTCCTCCCCCTCATCCTCCTCCTTCTCCCCCTCCTCCTCCTCCTCCTCCTCCTCCTCCTCCTCCTCCTCCGTCTCCTCCTTCTCATCATCACCGTCGCTCCTAGTCCCTGCTCCCTTTCCTTCCCCTCCTCATCTATGTGTGTCCTCTTTCTTCCAGTCTCGATCCCCATACGGGCGCACGTCCATGCCCAGCATGCCCTTGGCAGCTGCGACGAGGTCGGCGGCGGTGTTCATCTCGTTGTTCCCGGCGTCGTACTGGCCCAGCAAGTCGCAGGGGTCGTCGCAGCACGGGTGCTCGAAGGGAGGGAGGAGGTAGGATCCAGACATCTGGCTGCTCCGACAATCTGGACGGGTGGTGTTGAACATTGCCTGGTACCTGGAAGACCGTTTCTCATGTCCTGGAATGTCCCGCTGTCAATGTCAGAGTGAGAGAATCACGGTTGGCCTGTGGCGACCGAGCGCTCCCTGGCGGCTCTCCCTTGGAGCGCCCGAGTGCGTTGCTTGCCAAGTCGGGATGGTCTCCGGACCCTGGAGGGACAGGATGCGGAAGTGCCGAAACCAGCGTTTCGCCTGAGACGTCCCACGATGTTGCCGCGAACGAGCAAGCGTAACACCTCGGCTACCCATTGGTATGCCCAGATCTATGCCTTCTGCATCGCGGTGATCCTGGGGCTTTGAACGGATCGTGGTGATCATTCGCTGCATCGCGGTGAGGCTGGGAGTGCCAAAACCAACGAGTCGCTCAGGATATGCCCACAATCTAGCCTCGAACGGGCATGTGCCGAAATGGTAAGCCTGCTACATCGCGGCGATCATCGGCGAGTCTAGGTACGAGGAGCGAGTATGAGCGAGTTCACTTATAAATGCTAAGGTGTGGGCTTGTCTGAGTGTGAGCCTGAGTAGGAGAGAGTAAGAGTGTGACTGATCAGAGTGTGAGTGGTCTGTGTGTCTGAAGCTGCTTATAACTAAGATGAACTTGAGAGGATCGTTATGTAAGCGGTCCAAGTTCGGGTACGCCTGATGATGAGTGGGTTTGGGTATCAGTGGATATGAACGCGAGTGGTCAGAGTTTGAGTTGTCTGAGCATGTGTGAGAAGGTCTGTGAGCGAATCTGAGTGTGAGTGAGTCTGAATATGGGTGAATCGGCCAGTGTGCCTGAGTATGAGTGAGTCTGAGCGTGAGAGGGGGCTGAGTGCCAGTAAGTCTAGATATGAGCGAGCCTGAGTGCGGAAGGGACAAGGCCGAAGTGTGAGGAGGCGGAGGCGTCACTCTAATAACATCAACCCCAATTCAGGATATAGGGACAAGCGCCCCAGATGGAAAGAAAAACAACGCCAGGGAAGGGGCCGAGAGGTTCAATGACCCATGCCTCGAGCAGGTCGAGCCGCCGATGTCAGGTAAGGTAGGGGGGAGGAGGGCTGAGGACGGATGACGAGGGTGCGAGAAGAGAAGGAGAATCAAAATCCGGATCCGATCCGCAAAAAGGTTAGATATGGTTCAAGGGGTTCTGGCGAATCCCGGGATTGAGGCGGAGGGAGAGGGAGAAGGAGGTGCGTACAGATGTTGATACCGCTTCGGCAACAGAAAAGGTGGGGTGGCTGTCGGGGGAGGGCGAGATGAGAAATCCGCACAGTACAATGAGGAAGACGAGAACAACGACGCCAAGCATGGCTCATACTTAATGCCGTCCGCCCGTTAACCCACGCGAGCCGAATATGTCGGACCCCCCTCAACAAATGCGAGAGGTGCTGTTCATCCGGTCCTCGCTCCTCTAATCCTCCCCTCGCATCGTCTTCCTCCCTCCATTCGTCTTCCTCCTCCTCCCGGCTGATCGACCTTCTCACCCTCCATCTCTTCCCTTCTCTTCCGCTCCATTATCCTATTGTTCCTCGTCCACCCTGTCCTCCTCGCCCTCCTCCCTTACACTCCCCCCTCTCTCTTTATCTCCTTCTCTATCTCTCTCTTTCTTTAGTTGCCTGTATATGTTGCTGTTGTGTTATCTTTCTTACTCTCCCTCTCCCTCTTTCTCCGCACCTCTCAGATCGGCATTGCCTTCCTGGGGGCACTGATGTTACCTTCTCTCTCTCTCTCTTTCTCGTTCTCTCTCGACCTGACTCTGACGTGCAGAAGACTCAAACCGCGTGGCATCTACCCGACGCTGCACTCTCCTCCACCTGCGTGCTTGCAGCCACTCTGGCGCGATGGGGCGCCGAGTGCTGCGCTTGGGCATCGCCCCCCCTCTCTCCTATAATCCACCTCCTCCTCCTCCCCATCTCCCACCCATCCCTCTTTCTGAGGAGCGCGACGTCTTCGCCGTACCAGATGGCGAGAGTAGGGCGGCCCAAGCACACTGCCTAAACCATACTCACATGTTGAGATCACACAGGGCAGACGAACAAGCATCGGTAAACAAGATATGCACGATTAATGGACGATTATGTTCAAACTGCTGATGTCGCGTCCGCGCCGCACACGTTCGTCTTAGAGACTCCCAGCCGATGCGCGACTGGAGTGCGGCTACTGCCCAAATTGGCTGTCGCCTGAACGGACACACGCATTCGTGCTCATACCGCTATGGACAACACGCCTAAGCGATACATTCGCTTGGCTGCCGCCTGAGCGACACAGCGAGCGACACGTGACACGCGCTTCCAAGAACTACGTGAGTGGAATAATTGACTTTGTCCATGATGTGGAAATCTATTATCGTACAAGTGGCTAGGTACACCATCGCATGAGACTTCCTCAAACTTACGAGCATGGAACTTTAAACTCATCCCACGAATGAGCAGATGGTGGGTTCCAGAAACCCTGAACCCTCGAACATATCAGATTGAAAAGGACTGATGTTTGCTTTGCGCGGGCTAATGCTGGCTTTCCGCTGGCCTCTGCCAGCGGAAGCGGCCTCGTTTTACCTCCGCCGCCTTCCGCGGGCCCGCTGCCGCCTTCCGGCGAGAAAGCGAACTCGACATCCCTCGGAGCAAAGGCCCTTTCTGTAGCGCCCCAGATGGTGTACGGCCCCTCGTGCACGTAAGTATGGCCCTGCTGCGAGGCGTCCCTACATTTTGACTGATACCATACACAGCATGGGCCTCCTCATTCACGGCTGCAGGGACGGAGGGCGGACCCTCTTCAACATCGCGCTATGAATCTGCCTCTGCGCACATGTTGGCAATTACCAGGCTTCGACCATCTACATAGGTCGACGACTTGAAACGCTACGGCCTGACTTTGTTCTGACAGGCGATGCGCCCTTCACAGCAAAGGCTCTCATCGTGCATGCCCCTTGGACGAAGCCTGTCCAATGGCCGCCCGTCGCAGTGAAGGGGCATGGCTACCCATATGACCTGTGAGAGGGGATCTTGGGACGGAACAAGGTGTTGCAGTTGCAGCATCATTGGAGCGCACTGGCCCTGGTGTGGTCCACGCTCCGCTTCTATTTCCCCTCCTCCTCCTCCACCCACGCCTTCCTCCGCACGCGCTCCTCCTGAGCCAGCCCGCTGATTCGTAATGGTCTGATCTCACGAAGTATCCACGCGAAACGAAAAAAAGGTACACGCACACGCTCGAGGGGCGAAGCATGTTTCTGCACAAGTCCGTAAGGTTCCCATGGCATTCCCCTCCCTCCTCTTCTTCCTCCTCCTCCCCATCTCCCTCCCTATCCTCCCCCCCCCTCCCCGATCCTCCTCCTCCTCCTCCTCCTCCTGCTCCTCCTCCTCTCTTCTCCCCCTCCTCCCTCCTCCCTCCGCCCTCCTCCTCGTCCTCCTCCTCCTCCTCATCCTCCCTCCTCCCTCCTTCTCCTCCTCCTCCTCCTCCTCCTCCTCCTCCTCTTGTTCCTCCTCTTCCTCATCCTCCTCCCCATCTCCCTCCCCCTCCTCCCCCCCCCCCTCCCCCCTCCTGCTCTCCTCCTCCTCCGCCTCATCCATGCCCTCCTCCCTTGCCCCCCTCCTCCTCCTCATCATCATCATCCCCCTCCTTCTCCTCCTCCTCCTCCTCCTCCCTTCTCCCCCTCCTCCCTCCTCAGTCCGCCCTCCTCCTCCTCCTCTCTCCTCCTCCTCCTCCTCCTCCCTCCTCCCTCGTTATTCTCCTCCTCCTGCCACTCCTCCTCCTCCTTTGCCCCCTCTTCCTCTTCCTCCTCCCCCTCCCTCTCCTCCCCCCTCCTCCTCCTCCTCCTCCCCTCCTCTCGCCTCCCCTCCTCCTCCGCCCTCCTCCTCTCCTCCTCCTCCTCCTCCTCCTCCTCCTCCTTCCCCATTCTCCCCCTCCTCCCACTCCTTCCACCTCCCTCCGCCCTCCTCCTCCTCCTCCTCCGCCCCTCCTCCTCCTCCTCCTCCTCCTCCTCCTCTCTCCTCTCCTCCTCCTCCTCCTCCTCCTCTCTCCTCCTCCTCCTCCTCCTCCTCCTCCTCCTCCTCCTCCTCCTCCTCCTCCTCCTCCTCCTCCCCCTCCTCCTCCCTCCTGCTCTTCCTTCTCCTCCTCCCCCTCCCCCTCCTCCTTCTCCTTCTCCTCCTGTTCCTCCTCCTCTTCCTCCTCCTCATCCTCTCCCTCCTCCCGGCTTGCCCTTTCTGCTAGGCCTGCGCCAACCGGGTGCAACTACGCTACGTACCTCTGCCACGCTACAAAGACACGGTCTACGCACATGTAAGGTGGCGGAGGAGGGGAGGGGAGGGGAAAGCCTTCCACAACGAGGGAGGAAGGAAGCAAGTTGGAGGCTCACAGAAGCCACCCTGAAACAGGACACCAGGCCTCTTCCTCCTCCTCCTCCTCCTCCTCCTCCTCCTCCTCCTCCTCCCCCCCGCCCCTATCCCCCTCCCTATCCTTCCCTTTCTCCTCCTTCTCCTCCTCCTCCTCTCCTTCTCCGTCTCCTCCTCGTCGTCCTACCTCCTACCTCCTCCTCCTCCTCCTCCTCCTCCTCCTCCTCCTCCTCCTCTTCCTTCTTGTCCTCCTCCTCTTCCTCCTCCTCCTCCTCCCTCCCCGCTGCGAAGCAGGAGGTTAGCACCAAGGAGGCGGGGGGAGGCAAAGCCGGCCGGGGAGAGGGGCCTGCGGGCGGGCGAGCCGCCCAGGAAACGTGGCGGGGAAGTGTCGCGCGGGGCAGCATGCCCTTTCGTCGAATGCTCGATCGTGTGTTGTTGGGCCCGCATCCCTGCGTCGTGAACGCGGTGATTCCTTCCCCCCCTCCCGCGGCCGCTCCTCTCCTCGACTCCTCTCCCTTTCGTCGAATGCTCGCTCGTGTGCTGATGGGCCCGCATCCCCGCGTCGTGACCGCGGTGATTCCTTCCCCCCCTCCCGCGGCCGCTCCTCTCCTCGACTCCTCTCCCTTTCGTCGAATGCTCGCTCGTGTGCTGATGGTTTGGGTCCCTGCTTCGTGACCG